CAAGACGAGAGAGGAAAGACCTCCTCACAGCTAGCAGGAAGCTAACACAGCAGCCGGTACAAAGGTAGGTGTGTGTGTGTGTGCGTTTGTGTTATATGAAATGTTTTTATGCGACTTTGTCATGAGTTTTATGCAAAAGTAAAAACTTGTTAGAGTGTATATTACAGCGTAAACAAATCTCGAGCGACGAGCCCCTCCCTCCCCTGAGAGCAGCAGAACCTCCTCCTGATAATCATTATGTTTTCAGTTCATAACGTCAGGGAAAACGATCCAAACCATACAAGTATCCCATCAATTTAAAGCCCAGACTCTGCTCTTTCCAACAATATAAAAGTCACAGCTCTACGTGAAAAATTCACTCAACAAGCAGCCACAGAATAGTGAAAAAGGCTAAATTCTGGAACCATAAACACAAACGTCTTTCCTTTGTTTTTATGTCTTTAATCCACTTTGGAGTGATTTTTTCCACTTGTCTGGACCTGTACGTGTCCTGTGTTAATGTTGGTACATGTAATATGATAATTGTGTACTGTGGAGATCATTAAGAGTCGTTGGGTGAAAAAATCTTTCGCTAACCCTGTGTTGACTGTGAACCAGAAGTGTTGGGAGTGGCATCAGGTGCTGGACCGGATGTCTGTGGCATATAGGCTATCTGACATAGTTTTGTGTGTGTGTGTGTGTGTGTGTGTGTGTGTGTGTGTGTGTGTGTGTGTGTGTGTGTCTTAGCCATAATAGATTCTCAGGAGCAGATGTCGATTTGTCCCAACAGCCTCTCACATTTTCTTTCATCTCTTTGTGTTCTTTGTCCTCTTCTCTTCTCTTCTCTTCTCTTCTCTTCTCTTCTCTTCTCTTCTCTTCTCTTCTCTTCTCTTCTCTCACTCTTTCTGCTCCCTCTCTCCTCTCCTCTTCTCTTTTTTGCTCCCTCTCCTCCTCTTTCTCCTCTCTCCTCGCCTTTCATCCCTCACTGTCTAAATTTCTTGCGTCCTTTCCTTTCACCTTTCCTCCCCTCCCTGCTTTCTTCTCCTCTTTATGCTCCCTCACTCCTCTCTTTTGCGCCTCCTCGTTTCATTTCCTCTCTATCTGTTTGCTTTTCGCCTTATCTCGTCTCATTTTCTCCTCCTTTTTCTTCTCCTTTGTGTTTATCCTTCACCGCGTCCTTTCTCTCCTCTTTCTTACATTTCTTTCTTCCTTTGCTCCGTTTTTCCCTGCTTTTCTATAAACCACATCACCAARTATCCGAGCTGTTTTTCCTCATCTTTACTTTCTTTTTGATTTTATCTTTATTTCTTTCACTCAACATTTTGTTCAACACAAATTAAAAGATTGAAGCAGCTCRTTTTGTTTGCACGATACTAAATAATTCAAATATTAGAAGAAGCTGAGGTAAAAGAAAAGAAATGAACAATTTGAATTTCTCTCTTCGGTGCCAACAGTTTGACTCCACAGGTTGTTGTTTTTTTCTTTTTACAACAAAACACACTATTTGTCCTTTTTCACACAATGTAAGCCTGTAATCCAGCAGATGGTCTGTTTGCCCCAGAAGACCCCGAATGACCAGAAAACCGTCCAGCTGCCTCAGAGACTTCACAAAACAATGAGCAAGATTTTCACAGAAGAACAGAAGTTATTTCTTGTTTTTACCCATCTGGACACAAAATACAGAAAACACAAATCATCATTCTTGTTTTCATTAAACCTGATGATAAATTATTTATTTTAAGATAACTTTATTCTTTTAATCTTCCGTCCAAACCTTTAGTTTTGGTACATTTTTTTAAAACTGAAGCCTCCATCCTTCTGGTTTGTCTTCAAAACATTCAGATTTCTGTAAAATAAGCTGGACGTTCATGACCTGGTGGTCCTGCAGCGGACCTTCATCACTCCTCATTGGCTCATTCATCTTACAATAAATGAGATTAAATCAAGTCTAAAGTTTATTTTTATTTTATTAGAATCATCAGTTTAGATTAGATAAGCCCAAAGTGTGGCTCGCGGGCCAAGTTTGGCCCGCCAAGCCATTTGATTTGGCTCAGCACCAGTTGTAACCTGCTGTCCTAACAACAAGAGATATTTAGATYAGATTCATGAAACGTCAGGAAACTGCATGTATGGCAGACTTTCTCCAGGTGCAGACTAAAACAAAAGCAGGCCACCACACTGGCTTAATTGTTAAAAATAAAGGACTTTACTTTAAAATACTTGTATTTATTAAAGTATTATATTTCTGCATTTGGCCCCAGGTAGATTTTCATTTTGGCCCTCTGGGGAAAAAATTTGGCCGCCCCTGGTT